ACAAGTGTTAAGCGTTAAGTGGGATAATACTGTTGAACAAACGACTTCTGTTTGAGGTTGATAAAATAAGGTCATCCTTGTAACTAAAGGCCCAGATACACCGGCCAGTCACCTGAGAAGTCGCCGACGCCGACACCGACTGTTGCGTCGCCGGACTCGCCTGTGTATTTGCCGACTTCGCGCACCGCAAATCCGAGCCGAGCACGTATGAACTGCGCATGCGTGAGTGGCAATAACTCTCCTTACCAGCAGGCGGCGGTAGTGTGTATTCATCATTCAAAAGAGGCAACAACCGGAACAACCGGAAAACAGAGAAGAACAGACTCTGTGATATAAACAAACAACAAATAGCGTTTTTCTTTCCATTTTCACTCTCGTCCATTGAAAACATGAACGAACAGGAACTCTATAAACCGATGAGGTGAAATAGCCGTCCGTGTGTGTTCCATCTTCCATTTTAAATCATTTGTTTACCTCCCTCACTTCCGTTAACGCTTCTCATGCACTGATTCGCTAGCTGAACAGCCAATCAGTGTTATCCCTTTGTCCGACTTCCGGTGGTGTTCCCGACGCCGATTCAAGAAAAGGCGTCAGGTCGGCAGAAAAGACCCGACGGTGCGGCGCACATCACTCCGAATAGGGCGTGCCCACTCTCATGTTCGGCCCGACTCCCATTTACTGCCGATTTCGGGCCGGTGTATCTGGGCCTTTAGATTGATGCCACTTAATAAAAGCTAAAGCCAGAAGAAAGATACCTCAACCTGTAAACAAGAATCTGTCTAATTTCCCCTTTTATTTCCCCTTAAATAAATGTGTTCCGGGCTTTTCATTTAGATATGTGATGATTTTATTGAGTAACATATCCAAATAGGGTTGATATGTTCATGAAATGGAAATATGAAGTCTTATGCATCAAAGATTTAACACATCCTGTTGCTATTTCCAGTCCAACATCAAGGCTAGTCCGATGAGTTTGAACAATGCTTGGCTGCAGAGCATGAATTTCAATGACAGAAAATACTTTTCTGTAGAAAAAACAGCGTATCTACAAACTATTGCCGGATAAATGTCTGGATCTAACAATGTTATGCAATGCAATAAACAGTCTTATTAGATGATCAGAGAGTAACTGTGTTTCCCCAATGCAAGCAGAGGAAATGTTATAGTGAACCATAGATTAGAGGCGTATTCTGAACTTTGTCTCTGTTGATAAACAGCTCGAGGAGGGCGATCTGAAACATTCCCCCTGAAACTGGATAGACCCAGAGCTGACAGAACTAGGCCGTACTCTACTGAAGGTCAATATCCACGTATCTGTGTCTGACAGCAATGAAGCAATGAAGACTGTGGGCAGACGAGCTACTGGTTAGCCTTAACTAATGCAAATATCTACATGCAGCACTTTTTTTATTAATCCAGAGAAAATATCAAAATGGTCCATCAGGGCTCTGATTCAGGAAAAGCTGAATTCGAAAAATATAATATGTCCAGAGCTGCATATAACCAACAATTGAATTATTGATTGAGTTGTTGGTCATTTTCTCAATTAAATGTTTTATCTAAAAGACATCAGAAAAAAACAAATGTGCAATGGAATTGTCATAGGAGATATCAAACTAATACATTTTATGTCAATGACTTTGTTTGATTTGTTGCAGCTTTATATTTGTTTCAGTTTGTTATAGATTCTTTGCACAGCCAAAGACTAAAATGAATAAATCACAAATCTTTCCCTTCTGTTATGAGATTTTGGTATAAAGCCACAACATACAGATCAGCCACAGGGGCTCGAACAGGGAGCATTGCTGTAATGTATTATCAATCTTGTCTTTCAAGTGTTTTTATCTTCATGACTTTGGAGACATCTCCAACTGTTGGGACATTGTAAGTTTGTTAAATCTCTAATTGCAACAAACACTTTGGGGTCACACGAAGATGACGAATACCTGAAGGATTTGTATTGGTGTTAGCTGGCTGGTTAACTAATAACATATTGATATTTAACCATTTTTGCTTATTTTGCAGAAACTACTTTTCAAACAAACTCTGGCCTTTGAAACATCTTTAATGTGTTACACTCCACTGTAGTTCCCTGTCTGCCAAATGTAAGTTTACAGCAAAGCACAAATGATTTGGGAGTATGTTACTTCTTAAACTAGTGATATTCATAAAATCCTTAAACTGGCATATCTCTCTTTCTATATCAGACCACATGACTCTGCCTCACTTGAACTGACTGCTGCCCATGTCATCTGCATTGATCTGTGAGCTCGACTGTGTTGCGCAATGTCCAAACAGACATGGGCCAATTACCCATGAATTTGGCATCGAATTTAAATCCACCCATATTCACTCTGCAGTATAAATGTGGTGGGCAGCAACTCAGTGTGCACTCTTCGGGCTAGAACAGGGGTTTGCTGTTACCAAGTGATAAGTGATCTAACTCAAACTGGGAAGAAGAGATGACATCTGGTAAGAAGGTGAGTAAAACACGAGCACCAGTTTTCCTTGTCTAAGGTGGAGGGAATATATTTCCCAAAGATCTGGTTCAAAGTTATAACGTTCATTCCACACAGATACTGTATCAACTCTTTCTTTGGACACAGCAGGAGGGTAAACTCACCTGAATGTGCATTACTTCTATGTTGTGTTTTGAGGAAACATACATGTATATCCTTTGTGTATGCAACATGTTCATCTATGTACTGCAGGTCATAGTTTTCCCCTTGATCTTGACTATGCTGTTGTTACAGAAACCTTGTCAGTATAGGTTTTTGGTTTGTGTGCATTTGGTGAGCTTGCACAAGGTTTGTGTAATAGCCAGACTAAAGCGGTCACTGCTGGAGAGTCTCGGCCAAAACACTGCTTTTATCTTTGCACCTTTGAACTGCAGCTTCTCTCACATAAACACTTACAGAACATACATGTATCAATTGAAAAATGCAAAAGGTACTGCAGAACTGTATGACATCAAATTGTATTTTATATTACTTAAAATCACATGCATTCTTTTGTCTGTTTGGTTTGTTGGAAGTTGTATATATTCCTTGTTGTCCTTGTTGAGAAATGAAAACGACAAAAACATCAGGATTCTTTTTTTAAACCATTCAGTGTAAAAAGTGTGATATGCATGTGTCCCTCTGCCCTCACAGGGTATCATTGAGCGTCTGAATGCTGGGGAGGTGGTGATTGGCGACGGAGGCTTTGTGTTTGCTCTCGAGAAGAGAGGCTATGTGAAGGCCGGGCCATGGACTCCTGAGGCTACTGTCACACACCCTGAGGCTGGTTAGTCAAGTAGTACATACACATAATTGTATCCAAAACGACATGGAGGGAAGTTGCACAGACCTAAAAGAACAACGTTTTGCCTCATAAATGACACATTTGTGTGTTTCCTTCAGTGCGGCAGCTGCACAGGGAGTTCCTGAGAGCAGGATCTAATGTCATGCAGACATTCACCTTCTACGCCAGCGATGACAAACTGGAGAACAGGGGTCAGAACTTAAAAATCTCTGTGAGTACCGAGCCAAAGCACCACAGTGCAAGTCTTGCAAATTCTAGTTTACTCCACGCTGATTTATGAATAAACATGATGTGATTTGCAAAGAGTGTGATCAATGGTCATCAACAGAATGCCTTAATCTTTCAGGGGGCAAAAATCAACGAGGCAGCCTGTGACCTGGCACGAGAAGTCGCCAGTGAAGGAGATGCCATAGTAGCTGGTGGAGTGTGTCAGACTCCTTCCTATCTTAGCTGCAAGAGTGAGATAGAAGTAAAGGCCATCTTCAAGAAACAGCTGGAGGTGTTCTTGAAGAAGAATGTGGATTTCCTGATTGCTGAGGTGGATTCATGTCATGTCATATCATAGATACTTCAATGAATGTGAAATATAATCAGTAGAGCAAATAATACCTCGGTGTTGTTTTTGTCCTTGCAGTACTTTGAGCATGTTGAGGAAGCAGAGTGGGCTGTGCAGGTGCTCAAGGCCAGTGGAAAGCCTGTGGCTGCTTGTATGTGCATCGGACCAGATGGAGACATGCACGGTGTCTCACCAGGAGACTGTGCCGTCAGGCTGGTGAAGGCCGGTACGTATTCAATGTACGACTTAGTTTCCCTACTTAAAGTCAGCTGTGTTATCTGATATTTCATAAAGCATTTCCTATTTTCTCCAGGCGCCCAGATTGTGGGAATCAACTGCCACTTTGACCCTGAAACCTGCGTGAAGACTGTGAAGTTGATGAAGGAGGGAGTGGAGAAGGCGCGGCTGAAGGCTCACTACATGGTGCAGCCTCTGGCATTCCACACCCCAGACTGCAGCTGCCAGGGATTCATCGATCTGCCAGAATTCCCCTTTGGTAATATTTTTGTCTTGGAAACAAATGTAGGGGACAGTTGTGTATATGGCATCTTTTCACAGTTGTCTCTCTCCTTTTTCTCAGCCTTGGAGCCCAGGATCCTGACCCGCTGGGACATGCATACGTACGCCAGAGAGGCCTACAAGGCTGGCATCCGCTTCATTGGAGGCTGCTGTGGGTTTGAGCCTTACCACATCAGGGCTATAGCTGAGGAGCTGGCCACTGAGAGAGGGATCCTTCCCCCAGCCTCAGAGAAACATGGAATGTGGGGTTCTGGTCTAGAGATGCATACCAAACCCTGGGTCAGAGCCAGGTACACCAGCCCAAATATTGATTACACTTGAATGCACACATTTTTGTATAGATTATTTTTACAAGGTATCTATGTGTAACATGTGTCTTTTTGTCCCCCAGGGCTCGTCGCGATTACTGGGAGCACATCGCTCCCGCATCCGGACGTCCCAAGTGCCCGTCCTTGTCCACACCGGAAGGCTGGGGTGTGACCAAGGGCCATGCTGAGCTCATGCAGCATAAAGAGGCCACCAGCAGTCAGGAGATAAAGCATCTGATGGAGATGCAGAAGAAGGCCAAGTCATCTGCATGAGCAAGAAGAGGAAACCGAGGCACCCATACCTGCAGTTTGTCCACAAGAGAGCGACGGGGGAAGGAGGGAAGTCTTTCTGGGTTCAGTTTGGATGTCAAAAGCACTTGAAACATAACCCTATGTAAACGCCCAAAAATAAACCTGAGTTTGTCACCTATGTTTATGTGTTGTCATTGGGGAATAAGCACTTTTAGACTGTTCCATTCTAAGAAAGATATAAAACAGTGTCTTGTACCATAAATACAAACCCCAATTCCCATGAAGTTGGGATGTTGTGTAAAACGTAAACAAAAACAGAATACGATGATTTGCAAATCCTTTTGGATCTATGATCAATTGAATGCACTACAAAGACAAGATATGTAATGTTTAAACTGATCAACTTTATATATTTTTGCAAATATTCACTGATTTTGAATTTGATGCCTGCAACACGTTCCAGACACTTCCCTGTTTCCAATCAACCTGAGGAATATTCCAAACAGGTGTTTTTTGAGCATTCTTCAACTTTCCCAGTCTTTTGTGGCCCCTGACTCAGCTTTTTTGGAACGTGTTGCAGGCGCCAAATTGAAAATGATTGAATATTTACAAAAAAAAAAAAAGGTTTATCAGATTGAATCTTATATATCTTTTCTTTGTAGTGTATTCAATTGAATATAGGTCGAAAAGGATTAGCAAATCATTGTATTCTGTTTTTATTGACGTTATACACAACGTCCCAACCTATTGGAATTGGGGTTTGTATGTCGTACATTTCACATTATGCACAGATTTGGACCTGGCTTGTTAAAAGTGGTTCTAAACTATCAAGTTATGAATCTGTCCAGTCAGGGTCCAAAAGACATAGACCCACATAAATCAACAAGACAGAAAAACACCCCAAAACCTATAATTAACAGGGACACTCACAATACTCTCATTCAGCTAAAGAAGGGAGGGGAGCGAGTCAATATTGCAGTTGTGTAAATTGCCTCTTGCCAATCAGAGCAGCCCTTTCTTTGACCCCTCCCCTCCTCCAGAGAGATTTAAAGTGGCCTCCTGCTCCCCTCTAATCCATTCAGGGGTCCACACTACTGCAGGATTATGGCACCAGCAAAGAAGGTATGAGTGAACTTTTGTTTGAAGGAAGAGTGTGTTATTGAGACCATCCTGCAGAAGAACAACACAGGGAATTAGTTCTGTGGATTTATAATGTCTGATATGTCTTATTATATTGAGCTGCAAACTAAAGAATGGTTTATGTTTTTGCCATAGGTTTTGAGATATTTGTGTCTTAGACCATGACCATATATGTGTGGTGCTTATTCTGGGCAGAGGGATATAGTATATCCAAGGCATCTTCAGCACAACTGGCATATCAGGTCAGATGTCACAGAACAATTAACCTTCAAGCAGTTCAGGTAGACCTAATGTGTCCTGAAAAAAAACCAGACAAAAACTCTTTTCTCGACCCCTCGCTATACAATAATGATTAAATAAACCTGTTTTTCCTTTTGGACAAATATAGCGATGACGATTATCCCTCATTTATAGTGACTTTAGTTTTCAGTCATGAGGAGCTGTGCAGCTGTTGTCAGACATGTGCTGCCGTCTTCACGAATCAGGGTCATTGAGAGAAGGGGTATGTAACATTGAATTTGGGAAACCACTAAGCATAATCCATATTCCAGTGTCTTTATTCCTCCGGCCTAATCAAACAGAATCAGTCTGATCCGAGTGAGCCATTGTGGTCTACAAGAGTTATTCTAGAGGCTCATCACCAGCATAATATTCATATTTATTCTGCATGATTCTAAGTTGACATTGTCCTGTCATGACAGGGAATTTTGGAGCGTCTTGACGCTGGAGAGGTTGTGATCGGCGATGGAGGTTTTGTGTTTGCTCTGGAGAAGAGAGGCTACGTAAAGGCCGGTCCCTGGACACCTGAGGCCGCCGTAGAGCACCCTGAAGCAGGTGAGAACCAAGTATTTTACCAGCTTTTTCTCTATTTCAACCTAAAAATAACTTCCTTAAAATAATCCTTTGCATGTATTACCTGCAAATGCCTTTTCCTTATGCATTTTACTGTATGTTACAGTTAAGATGGATGTTTCCCTTATGCAATCCTATTTGTTTAATGATTTCAGTGCGACAGCTGCACAGGGAGTTCCTGAGGTCCGGGTCCAATGTCATGCAGACCTTCACCTTCTACGCCAGCGATGACAAACTGGAGAACAGGGGCAACAAGCTCTCCTTCACTGTAAGTTAACGGGGCATCACACCACTGCCATAGGAATAAGCAGAATATCCTGCATGTGTTGCATTGAAAACAGTGACTAAAACAACAAACTAAATAAAACATTCGGATGAAATGCCCATTAGCAGTTTTATTAAACTGTTAATCTCAATGAAAACGTTCTATTTAAATATGTATTTATGTGTATCAGGGTTGTCTTTTTGATTCTCACCTTTATTGACCATCATTTGGCTCTGTTCTGCAGGGAGCTCAGATCAACGAGGCCGCCTGCGATCTGGCCCGTGAGGTTGCCAACGAGGGCGACGCTCTGGTTGCCGGGGGAGTTTGTCAGACTCCATCCTACCTGAGCTGCAAGAGTGAGACAGAGGTTAAAGCCATCTTAAAGAAACAGCTGGATGTGTTTGTCAAGAAAGATGTCGACTTCCTGATTGCTGAGGTAAGGATAAAAACGTTAGAATAACCATATTCATTCCAGATTTCTTTGATTTTTTCATAAATATTAAGAAAATGCTGATGTCATTGTCCTGCAGTACTTTGAGCATGTGGAAGAGGCTGTGTGGGCCGTGGAGGTGCTGAAGGAGACAGGAAAGCCCGTCGCTGCCTGTCTGTGTATCGGACCAGATGGAGACATGCACGGTGTCTCACCAGGAGAGTGTGCCGTCAGGCTGGTCAAAGCTGGTGAGTTCAGTGTTATTTAATTCAAACAGAACTAGTTAATGGATACAAAAAGTAGTTATAGCGAAATATTAGAGATTCAGGTTTAAACTTGTTCATATAAACTTATCTTATCATCTCATGACCTCTCTGCAGTGTGACCTGGCAGGGTCCGATTTCTAACTGGTAGACACAAGATAAGACACATCTGTTTGTAGACTCTTGGTATCATTAATTAACAACTGGCCCAATCCTACGTGCCAAAACCTTTTTGGCAGTTGCTTTGTCATGTCACCACCAGCACCAACATGATTACCATTAAAAGAAACCAGCCAAATGCAAAATGTGTTATAGATATAACCAAAATCTTCAACTACAGTTGTCCCTGTCTCTTCGTCATGTGTGCTTTTTTTGCCCATCTGTAAGAGTCAGCTGACATAAATTCACATTCTTTTATAGGAGCTCAGATTGTGGGAATCAACTGTCACTTTGACCCCACTGACCTGCGTAAAAGCTGTCAAGATGACTGAAGGAGGGAGTGGAGAAGGCCGGTCTGAAGGCTCACTACATGGTGCAGCCTCTGGCATACCACACCCCAGACTGCAGCTGTCAGGGATTCATCGATCTGCCAGAATTCCCCTTCGGTAATAATATACTGTGCTGCATTTAAATTTGACCATACCACATATGACAATATATCATAGGCAGTTTAAACCTAAAATCAAAAATACATATTTTTCCTCTGACCTGTAATATCTTTATCAATCTTAATTGTTCTGCAGTGATTTGCCTTGTGTTGAGGATATCAGCTATACAAATTCCTGCTATCTTTTGAATATAAAGAAGCTAGACCACACTCAGCTTGTGGTGCTCAAAGTGCCAAAAAATACATTTGTAAAACTTAACAGCGTCTTTCCAGTAGCCTAATTGTGACCCAGTATTCAAGATTATACAGACCCTGTTGGGAGTAGGTTCCTGGAGGAACTTTTTTTGTTTTACGTAACCAAATCTGCCGACCGTATACCCGCACCGAATGGAGTGAGCATCTACCCGTGGACGAGAGGCTCATGACAGCTGGAGATGTTAACATTAATAGTGCCTCCTTTGCTGGGCTGTAACGTTAGATTGCTCAGGAAAGCTTCTCGTCCACAAATAGATGCACACTTCTTTCTGTGCAGTGATACACTTAGCTGGTGTCTTTATTAATATATAGCACTACACGTCAGAGGATAATGTGTATTTTTTATTTTGGGGCTAACTGTCAAAAGCAGGTTTTCTCAGTGTGCATGCACATAGAGTATAACCACTGCTAGTGTATTGTTACTTAATCCAGCAAGGTCAATTATTTGATATAGAAATAAAGAAATTACCCAAAAGCAACCGCTCAGGAATAAAATGTGTATAAATCCTCTGCCAGGTCTGGAGCCCAGGATCCTGTCCCGCTGGGACATGCACGCATACGCCAGAGAGGCCTACAATACTGGCATCCGCTTCATTGGAGGCTGCTGTGGATTTGAGCCTTACCACATCAGGGCTGTTGCAGAGGAGCTGGCCCCTGAGAGAGGTTTCCTCCCAGAAGCGTCAGAAAAACATGGCAACTGGGGTGCTGGTCTGGAAATGCACACCAAGCCCTGGGTCAGAGCCAGGTCAGAAGCAACTTTTAATCCTTCACTCAATATCACCTAAACTCATTCAATTGTGAAAAGTGTTAGTGGGTTCTAACGGGTATGACTTTTTGTGTCCTATAGAGCCCGTCGCGACTACTGGGAGAACCTGAAGCCAGCCTCTGGTCGTCCTCTGTGTCCCTCCATGTCTTCCCCCGATGGCTGGGGTGTTACCAAGGGCCACTCTGACCTCATGCAGCAAACAGAGGCCACCTCTAAGGACCAACTCAAACAGCTGTTCGACAGGTCAAAGAGCCAATGAGTCTCTCTCAGTCAGCTGGCAGCAGGCCTGGGTTAAACAGCCGTGCAGCTACACTGTGGTGTGCATGATCTCTAACAGTGCTGCACCTAACAAGCTTAATGTCAGGGGTCACATCTTGACTTGAGGCCATCACTGTTCTGTGCAATATGTTGATTGTAAAGCTTAAGTTGATGTGTAGCCACAGCGGGGTCTTAAGTTAGGTGTCGACCCGTGTTAAGATCGGGACCTTTTTTTCCATAATTCTGGACCAGTTTGTTTAATAGAATATAATCTAATAAAGTGTGAATTGGCCATTTGATGCTTCAGGTGTGGTTTCTTTCAGTGGATTGGTGGGTGGGTGTTTATCAGTGCTATCATCGGTAGATACAGTATGTGTGACAATCATGAACATGCACACACACATATGTATCTTGGAAAAAGCTGTACACGAACATACAACATCGACTT